GCAGTTGATGACACCATTCAACTGGCATACTGCACGCACTCCTCGCGCCTAACAGAAGACTCTGCTAGCAGGTAGAAATCGCAGGCGGCCAACGCACGATGACTTGCGACAGAATACATCGCAGCACTTTGGAGACACGAAACGAGGTGTACTATGGTGGAATGTTCATCGACCAGGTTTTAGGCCATACTCGTCCTACTTTATCCAAGCCGGCGTGATTGGATGAAAACGACCACAAAATACCAATCCTAGTCTCCCATGTTTTGCCAGCACTCTTTCCTGTAATATGTACACAGAAAAGCAGACGATTCCGTTGTGAATTCCTGAAAGGATGTATTTCAAGTAAAAAACCGATCAATTCGGACATCTAAATGCATATAAACATTTGTGGAAGCGATAGAAGGTATAATTAAAATTCGAAATCTGTAGAGCCGGTCTGTGTCGGTTGCGGAACAAAATGAAATTCTGTAGAGTCGTTGGGGACATTCGGCTCCTCGCCCTCGGCTGCTTCTGCGGTGGAGTTGCCCTGAAAACCAGAAACGCGTCAATGAGGCTATTTAAAAAAACGGATGCATAAAAGCCGTTTGAGGGTAGACTCGATTGTGGTGCCTGCATCTGGAAAAGATGCGCAAGGTTGTACTGGGTGTTCCTGACGAATCAGAAAAAAAATACGCAAAACAGATACAGGGTCGCTTCCGCTATCTAGTTCTCTAAGACGCTCGTGCACGCATTCGTTTTCCTCGTCAAAACCATCCCCATCAACCACATGGAAAGTTGTCACAGTAAAAACATTCAATAGAAATATACTTACCGCATCATTGAAAAAGGTTACGATCATATCGTAGGCTGCCTGGTAAACCTGTTCATTGCTGTGGTCCTGGAGTTGTTCAAGAGAGTCCAAACCTCCGCAGGCCTCTAGAGACAGGCAGCACTGCTCAAGCTGTCCAAATTCGCTTGCAGTCTGTTAAATAGAAAAACAGTCAAAGTGCGGCATAAACGAAGCCTTAGCGACTACGTCATTCGTTAACTTATTTTAGGGGTACAATTAACGTAACAGTACTGGAAAAAACGTCCGTTTCAGATTCTGGCTGAATTTGGTGAACGAAGCAAAAAATAGCGTATGCGCGAATACTAACCTCAAACAACCGCCGGATAGCCTCGAGCACCAGGACAAGAACACGAACATCAGAAACTGTCAAGAGTCTGCTTAGGGCAGCCAGAACATTCTGATTTAGGAGGTACGCTCGTTGCTCGGGAGAGCCACCGTTGATCATGTTACTTATGACCCAACAGGCCTCTTTTTGGATCTTGAATTCTTCCTAAAGGAAAGAAAGGTCAAGTATTAGAGTGACATTCAAACCACGGGTTTATTAATGTAAAAATAGAGTAATTCACCTTGAGCACGAGTTCCAAAACACGGGGGACAACGTTTGCGTCGATCACGGATTGTATTTGGGGAATACTCCCAGCAGTTATGTTGCTTAACATCCAACAGGACTCTTTAATGATGCTCGACCTGTCCGAATTGAGCAGATTGGGTATGTATGCCAACACCCCTGCATCAACGATCACTTGAGTCTGGTCATCGTCACCCAAAACCAGATTCCCGATCGCACGTAGAGCCGGTGATATCAATCCAGGCTATTTAAAATTAGACAATGTTGAAAATAATAGAATAAAAGAGAACAGACGATTCTGCGACAGATTTAACGGACACCTCAGTAAATATGAACTACAGAAGTCTCCAAAAACTAAAAATGATCAGGCTGTAAAATCTTAAAATATGTGCTTTCATATGTGAAGAGGGGAACTTAACGCTTAAAAATAAACTGACAGTAAATAGGACCGGCGCTTGCGCACAACATATGCCAGAGTAGATATATTTGCATTCTAATACACGTATTCAGTAAAAAAAAAAGAATAAAGCCATGCCAGAGGAACAGGGCTCCCCTCCCTATTAGGAAGCCCAGCAGGACTAGTGTTAAGATGGAAATTAAGGCTACTCTTGGGGTTAATCTAGGGTTGGGTGAAGGTTGGGAGTATTTGCGCCTCCTAGAACTTCGCGCAAGACCGCTTGTATTACCAGGAGTTGGTTCCTAGTCCTACCAAATCCTACCTGACCTTACCAGATATTGGAAATGAATTGTCACGACTGAACCTTTAACGCAATACTGTTGACCACAAAATTAAATGGGGAACTGTAAACTTTGTGAAAGTATTGAGACAATCGACGAACTTAACTACATTTTGAGGATTAGATCCGTCCGAAGGCTTACGTAGAAACATACTCCAACAGAAAGTGCAAACAGTCAAGAAACTCCTTTCGAGTATCCAAATACTTAACAGACTTACCGTTCCGGATCCCAGCAGCTTGATCAGAGTCGGCACGCAGTTGCTAGCGAGAATGTCATTGATGAAATCATTCGCAGAATCACTCGCATAGGATAACGCCCAAGCAGCATCAATAACGACATCTACGCTTTTGGTATATCCCAACAATTTTTTTAGAACTGGAAGGAGCTTTTGTACAGTTTCGCGCGGAGGGTGTGGGTTTTTATTGCGACACAAGTTTGATAGCATCCATGCTATGTTGGCGACGACACCAGGGCTGTCCCACGCTCGGTCAAGAAGACTGTAAGGATAAGTAAATACAGTGAAAAACCTACAGTTCGAAAGGCAGACCAAAAACTTCCGTAGTAAATGGTGTGCGCAGGGGTGATGCCCGCAGAGGGCTACCTTGCAAATGCGCTGCATAAAACGAGATTCATAGCGGCTTATGGGATGTGCTGACTCCGCACCAGCCTAAGACGTAAGCCCTCACGCCTAAGACGTAAGCCCTCACGCCAGCAAGTTCATTCAATCCCAGAATCCATTGATTGATCAGCTCGGATAGTGGACTGATGTAGGGCATTCTAGTGCGTTTCTAGCTATAATAAACATAACGCTTTTCACCTTATCACGATGCGTTGAGTAGTGCTTGCACAAGCTGGCCACGAGTGGAACTCTTAGACGGAGGCGCGCAGTTTT